TGACGACGGCAGCGGGTGCAGCGCGACGCCGCAGCCAATGTCGCCACCAATGAGTCCCGGCAAGACCGTTGGCGTCAAGTGGCACGTAAAGCCGACGCAGCACCCGTTGCCTTTGTGGGCGTCCGGCATGATGCGCGCGTGTGCGACCGAGGCATGGGCCGCGATGGCTTCGATCTGCTTGAGCGTCTCGCGGTCGAGATGGTCCTTCTCGAGGAACACGACCGCGTCGTTGGGCGCTTGGCCGATCGTAAACATACAGCGGTACTGGGTTGGGAAGCAAGGTGTAAATGGAAGAATGGAGATGTCAGCGTAGCATGCAAGCAGGCCATGGGGAAACAATCGCGAAAAAGCCCGCGGACGCGAGAATGAGAATGATGACAGTACCATCACTCACCGGGCACCGACGCGTCGCCGGCGTACCAAGTGTACCAGCTCCATTGGGCAAGGTCAGGACCGAGAAGCAAATGTGCCAGACGCAGTAGAAGGCATTGCGACAGGACCTATGCACTGCACGGTCCGTTTGGCCGGCAACGACTGAGATGACGACGTGGGCGCGGCAAGGAAATAAGAACGGTTGCTCTTATTTCCTTGGCGCAGTATTCCCACACAGTGCTCGGATTCGCTCGACGTAGAGTCGATTCCAATAGACTACTGAGCAGCATGTATTGCTGTTGGTAGCTACCAGTACATTCATTGCCATCCGCGCTAGCTCGCCGAGCTATCAGAACACGAGTTGATCGGCATCGCCGTCTCTTGAAGGGAACTGCACTTCCAGGCACGTCGCAAGCGACTACTCAGAGTTCGAGAAGAGGTCTATTACATCCAGGACAGGTGCAATAACACGGCTCTTGTATCCCTCGCAGTCCAGGGCTGTAGCAACGACGGTGTTTCGTCAAAGATTTGGCGCCAAAAATGGCAGGCGAAACACCTTCCGCAGACGTTCGTTCAAGTCCGCGTCGCACTTAACTGGGGCGCTACACTTGGTTCGTTCGCAGTTCGGATCTATTCCCGCCATCATGCCCACGGTCCGCATCGCCGGCGTGCCCGTGAGCTTCCCCTTCACGCCCTACGAGTCGCAGCTCGTGTACATGGAGAAGGTCATCACGGCCCTCGAGACGAAGCAGAACGCGCTCCTCGAGAGCCCCACGGGCACGGGCAAGGTACGACGACGTCGCTATATGCGTCCTCAT